GCCAATAAAGACCTGGTTTTTCAGTAAGAAGTTCAGAAGTTCAGAGTACAAAGGGAAGTGCAACTTATTTAAGCAACTTACTGGCTCTAAATCTCCAAGCTTGAAAAAAAAGTCCTTTAAGCACATCCTGCAAAATACAAATCTAGAAGAATGTAGGTGAACCTAGATAGAAATGACAGTGGAATAGACTGCAGCTGGAAGAAAGCTGAAAACTGAATCTAAGCAGGATGGAAATGGAGGAGGAAAAGAGCTAGGGAGATAAATGGAGAGTGAGGAAGACTCAAAGGAAGACTATTTTTAATCATAAGTCACTGATGAGAACAGTTTACATTCTAATTAGCATCTGATATGAATACCAATTTTCATTACAGTTGTGTACTCATTTTTTTCATTTCTCAACAAATTTAGTATTTTCAGCAAAAGTGAGAACTCATATCATTTGTACATTCAATACATATTGAGCACCTGCTCTGTGCTAAACACTTTTAAGTACTAGGTATATTGTGGCAAAAAGGAAACGAGCACGGTTCCTCAACTTATCTAATGAGGGAAAACAGATAATAACCAAATAACTGAGTCATAGTTACATATGAGAAGGGCGTGAAGGAAAAGAAGATCAAGTAGTCAGGAAAAACCCTGCTGAGGAGGCACTGGCTACTTCTCATCCTTCCAAGGTACCCAAGGAAATTCTTGCATAGGTGGAAGAACAAGAGGGACCACGTTTTCTGCCACCTTGAACAAGATAAAGTATGCTACATTCAAGGTAATAAAAGAGTAAAGACAGAAAATAGTGAGCAGAGAGAGCAGATAGAAATGCAAATGGTGGTAAATGAGAATAAGATGATAGGGTCATGTTAAAGGGATTGGATTTTATTAAGAGCCAACCTACGTCCCGCTGGTGTGGCTCAGTGTTTGAGTGTTAACCTATGAACCAAGAGGGCATGGTTTGATTCCTGGTGAGGGCACGTGCCTGGGATGAGGGCTTGATCCCCAGTAGGGGGCAAGCAGGAGGCCGCTGATCAATGATTGTCTCTCGTCATTATTGATGTTTCTATCTCTCTCCCTTCCTCTCTGAAAGCAATAAAAATATATTTTAAAAAAAGAACCAACCTAAGAGTTTTAAGAAAACTGCTGTAGGTTTGTTTAAAGACCATGCCAACTCTGTATTATCTGGGTGAGTACAAAAGCAAATGGGAAATCAATTAAGAGTCCATTAAAATAGTATAGGAGACACTACAGTAGAAGGAGATAAGAAAGGTCCTACCACAGTCCTAGCCATCATATATACCACAACTTACTTTATACTTACTGTACTTAATTTATGTAACAGTTGTTCTAGAAAACAGTCCTATGATAGTCATTTCAAAGCTATTAAATTAGTATTAAATCTCAAAACAATGAGTCATTTTGTGCTAATTAATATCCAGAAAAGTTTATAATAAAAATGTTAAGCAGAAAATGTAAAAACCTTGGGGAAAAAGTATCATAGTCGTGGGGAAGCATGAGAATTGGTTGGAAAGTTTGTAAGACGGACATACTGAGAAAAGGAAAGTGTGTGGAGGGTCCCCCACCCTGTTTATCAGAATTCTGACTTAGGGTAGTGCTGAAGGCGGTGCCCCTAATTATCCCTTGACCTTTCCAAACAAGTCTGTGCACATGCAGACCCCCGGGTGTTTACTGGAATCCTTATGCTTAATCTTTGGGTGTCCTTGCTTAAAGGACACTACAAACACATGTGTCCCCCCAATATGTCTGGTTCCTTTAGCCAGGCAGTCCCTTAGCCCTCTCACAGCAAATGTGTTGGAGTAATCCATTCATCCTACTCCATTCATCCGTCGCTAAGGGTCTGCTGGTCATCACTGGCAAGTCTTTTCCCAAATTTAAATCATAGTTTTGATACTGTATCTATCTTGCCATATTTTGTAAATATGGGAACAAAACTGAGCAATTCATAAAACTATGTTTTCTTTTACACTTATGATACATAAATTATAATGACTTACAAAACACTTCCCCCACAAGGGTTAGGAAAGTACTGCACTGCCAATTTATTTTACCAACGTCCCCAATATCTTATAATTGCTTTTCTCTAGACATTCATTAAACAAATATTTACTGAGTACCAACTATGCACCAGCTACTTTTTTTTTTAAATCAGGGTCCTTTCTCCATTAAGCAAATAAAGTAGTGCAACAATCTCAATTGTGGGCATCTGGCTAGAAGGAAGAAACCATTACTAGATCCATTACTATATTTTCTCCTGCCCTGCCACAGAAGCAATGGGAGAACTGGGAGGAGGTGGAGGAAAATGATCTGCACCTAGTACATATGACTAATGTGACAAGGAAAGACTCCACAAGTTCCTACATGTTTCCCTGCAGACAAAATAGGAGTCATGAAAACGAGTCTTTCAAATACAAATGATGCCCACAAAGATTGACTCCATCTCCAGAGGTGACAATCTAATAACATGTCCAGTACAAACTACAATGCACTTGAGGCTGTCCTAAATGTTACCCTCCATCATTTAGTAACTTTTGGGAATGTCCCTTAGCTCAATTTCTTTACTTATTCTGATAAGCAGTGGGATTCAAATGATTCTCCAGTGAAATAAACCACTGTCTACTACCCACCCTCACTGAGAAATAATGTCCATCACTGTTATCACTAGTGGAAATTACTGACATAACAATACTAGTGACACTGGAAAGTATCGCTTGTCTTATGATTTATTGGATCTATCATAGCTTTTTGGCAATGAACCAAAGAATAGGAAAAGGCATGGATACTATGCTTAGTCAAATAAGATAATAAAAGTTGGGGGCAAAAAAAGTCTTAATATAATAATCAGGAAACTAGACCTTCAATTAATGCTTAGTTATCATCCTATCATTTATTAAAAGTTTCAATGAGTAATTACCTGTTTATTTAGTGTTGATCAAAGCCAACATTATCCATCGAAGCAATTGGTAATAAAATCTGTGTCTTACAGTAAAGCATAATTTCCAGGCAGATATCAACCTGATGAGCCAACCTTTCTATGTAATTAAGCTGACTGCATTCTGAGGAGCAATGGCCTCTCTGGTAATTTCTGACTTTAGGAAAAGTTCATAAAGGGACAAAAGAACATTATGAAGGCTTAAGGGCTCATTCCAAATCCTCTACAGCAGTGGTTCTTTCAGAATAAGCCTTTTATGACACTGTTGAAAAACAGATCCTCTCCTGAGAAAAATTCACACAAAATGTAGCAAATAATTTCAGTAGGTTAAAATAAAATTACTTGATGCTTATCCTGGGTCTCAGGTCAAGAATCCCTGTCATTGCTAGCAGAGCCTCTTGCTGAGCAAAGTTAACAATAGAGTTGTAATAGAAAGGTTTTATAAGCAAGTCAGAGAAAAAGTAGCTGGTGGGAAAATTCAAGGTAAAGACAATTACAGCAAAAGTGAGAGGTGAGATTCACAGCCATACTCTGAATGAAACCTTACTACAGCAGTACATTTGACAAATATTTATTGGGCATTATTATAACCTAGGTAGGGTGCTAAGAGATGTGATAGTGAACAAACTCAGATGTAGCTAACATAGTTCCTGCTCTCATGTGGCTTATAAGAACCGGGGGAATGGCAATCAATCATCCTGATAAATAATTATGAACAGATATATTACCAGAATGCAGGAAATACATTTTATAAGAGAGCCTACAATGAAAAAACCTAGCTTAGATTAAAAGTTCACAAAGGCTTCCCTAAAGTAAGACTGAGGTGAAAGGTAACCAGTCAATAAGTTATCTACACAGAAATTGGGGTGGGGGATAAAGTTAATACAAATCTTCCAGACCCAGGAAAACATAAGCAAAGATCCTGAGGTAGTGTGGAGATGAAGTTGCACTATGAAATAAGAAAGATGTTTCTATTAATAGCTTTCTTTTTTGCTACTTATCTTTTGATAAAAATAACAGTATATCCATTTTAGGGTGGTTGGGACAATTAAATCGGAGAATATATGCAAAGCACTTAGTAAAATGCCTTGGCACACAATAAGTGCGCACTAAATGTTAATGATGATAAAAATTATAGCTAAGAGAACCTGTGTTCTATAAAATTCCCTGGGCATATTCAACCACAACAAATGTTAGCAGTTCCTACATCCACCAATTACAAATTTCTAAGGCAAAATATAAGCAAGTTAAATATTTTAATAATTTCTTGCTCTTCATTTTTACTTATATAAATGTGCTACAAAGAGTTGTAGATATAGCATAAACACATGTTAACTTTTCTAAGAACTACAATGTACTTTATCATTGAGATTACCTTTTAAACAAACCAAACAATTTACTGATTAATTTTGAGATATGTTTAAGTGAAACAAAGTTCTTATAATTATTGTTTTTAATAGAACGCCACTGAAAATTAACTCAAGCCCAGTTCAACTTAACATCATTTAAATAAGATAATAAGAGCTATTGAAAAACTTTACACATTTAAGTCTTCTAAAATAGTTTCAAATTTAGTCTTTCTTAAGCTGAGGTATAGTTAAAAAATCTTTACATTTCACTTTGCCTCTGGCAGAACATTACATGGAGAATCTATTCTTTTTTTAAAATATATTTTTATTGATTTCAGAGAGAAAGGGAGAGGGCGAGAGAGATAAGAAACATCAATGATGAGACAGAATCATCCATCGGTTGCCTCCTGCAACCCCTGCATATGCCCTGACTGGGAATGGAACCATGACCTACCTCCTGGTTCATAGGTCGATGCCCAACCACGGAGCCTCGCAGGCCAGGAGAGAATCTATTCTTTATGTAGAAGTCCATTAATATTCTAAGTAATATACCTTTTTTTTATATATGCTCTCTCAGATATACTACCTTTGAGTATTGAGCATATTTTTCCTAAATTTAAGTATGTAAATTACATCTCCTGGCCTGATTACTCAATAGGTATGAATGGAGACAAGGAGATACAAACTCTTGCACTACAAAAATGCAACATTACCTGGAAAACTAGTTTTCATTATATCAATTCCAACTTGTAGCTCAGGTTCAGCAGCAAGTACAGCATAGTCCCCTTGATGAGAGATGTTAAAGTTGAAATTGGGGTAAGGATTCAATGAGTCTTTTGCAAGAACTGGTTTTCCTTTTGCAGTTCTTTGCAAACGAATATTATTCCAAGGGATATTCAATTTCTCTGTAATTAATTTCCTTATCATCAGACGACCAGCCTGTTAAGAAAATAAAACATAAATATTTGGTATGTGTAAGTACACTGCCTATAATATACAAAGTATGTTTTTGTGGTTTCTAAAATATTTTTTAGGGTTTTAAAACATACATTCCATTAAGATTTAAGCAATGCGTAAGAAGATAGGAGAAAAAGTTAGTCTCTCCTTAGCAATTCTCTCCCTTCAACAGGTAAGCAATATTAACAAGTAGGCATCCTTCCAGTCTTTTTTCTAAGTACCTAAATATAAGTTCATGTGCATATGATTTTGCTATCTATCTACACATATGTGATCCTACTCTATGTAGTATTCTACCATGTATAATCTTTTTAACTTGTGCTGGGGATTATTCCATATCTGTCCATATCCATATTTCTGTGCACTTTTAACTATAGCATAGTGTTTCACAGTATCAAGGAAGTATAAATAGATTGACTTACTCCATTATTGGACATTTTAGGCTGCCTCTAGTTTTGCTATTACAAAAATCTCCCCAGTGAGTAACGAACCCTGTTGTACATACATCTCTGTGCATATGTGCAAGCATGTCTAGATCATACATACCAGCGATTTCCAAATGGTGTGATGCAATAATTTTTAAAACATGCAATACCAGACTAGTCAGGGGCACTGACCTCTTTTCCCTTACACTGTCAAATTATAAAATGACGACAGCCAACACAACAGCCATAGGTGTGAACGACTCAAAACTATACCTATTTTTTGTCCGATTGTCAAAAAATTATATTTTTTGGTGTGCCACAGAATTTCAAAAGTTTATGTGTGCCTTGATATGAAACAGGTTGAAAATTGCTGCTATATACCCATCACTCATTTTCAACAATTGGCTACGCATGATCTATCTTTTGTCACATACACGCTCTCCTCCTCTCCCCCACCGCCACATAATACTTAAGAAATTACTATAATCACACACAATACCCAGGGGTATAACAAAGTATACAATATTTTGTAAGATACCTTTCGTTGTTGGTTTTTGTTTTTGCTTCAATCTAACAATGAGTTTTAGATACTGCAATACTTTGAACTTCACTTCTTACAATTAAAAAAAAGAGTATAAAAATATTCACCCATATACCTTCAAAAGATTAATGAATTAGGCCAAATTTCAAGTGAAAAGGTGTTTCAACATAGGAGCAATTTCAAGAAACGACTGTTTCTGGAGGGATGGCCATTACAGGCTGTTTCAAACTGCGCTACACAGAAATAATTCTGAAGTCCAATTTTCCATTTGTTGCTTAAAAATACATAACTAAAATAAATAACTATTTAAGACGCTGTTTTCCAAGCTATGTGGTCAGGAAGGTAGACACGGGGCCGCATCCTCCGGGGGCTCCCGCTTCACGGGTGCAGGAGGCCGGTCTGGGCCTCGTCCGGCTCCACGGGGCGCAAAGATAAACGCAGTCAGACCGGCAGTGTTTTGGGGGGCCTCTCACGTGCAGGGTGCCCTCGGGGAGCGGTGGGACATTTAACAGGCAGAGGCCCAAGCAAAAAAAATAAAAAAGATAACAAATAGAAATACAAAGGCATTCATTACGAGGAAAGAAATGCAAGTACCCCGCAGGCCTTCCCTACACCTTCTCGCGGTTTCGCAGGGTCCCCGTTTCCATGGCAACGTGGGAGGGGCTAACTTTTTGGCCGCGAGCGAGGCCTTCGAAGCGACTACAAAGGCCGCGGAGACCGGGCCAGGGCTCAGACTCGCAGCGCCCACCCTCCTCGCCCGGACCCGCCCCGCGTGTCGCCGGCCCGTCTCCCCCAACAGCTGCGCCCTCGGCTCACAATACCCAAGCCCCGCAGTACCATGGCTGCCTTAGCGTCCCGGGCGAAGACGAACTGGCCAATGCGCTCCTTCTCCTCGGGCTGGATCGACCGCACCGCCAGCAGCCACTCGGCGCGGCTCGGCAGCCACGTGCCGCAGGGGAAGGCCCAGCGCACGCCCTCCATCGCGGGCACCGAGCAGAACCGCCGGCCGGGCGGAGCCGGGAAGCATACGCTGGAAACGAGCCTCGCCGCCACCTCGGGCCTGGCGGCACGGACGCTGACCGGGTTCCAGCCCCTCTTCCCGGCGTCCGTGCGGAAGGGGCGGGGCGTCGCGTCGCGCAGGTCCTCGCGCACGCTCCCACCTTGACCCCTCACTGCCCCGCCCCCAGCGCCGCGGCGGGGCGGAGACGTCACGGGGCGGGGCTTCGGCGCGAGCGGAAGGCGGGACCAAGGCCAGGAGCCGGCGAGTGATGCCACTCACACTCGGGAAAGAGCTAACCGGACAGCGGTGCAAGCCAATCGCAGCCAGCCTCCGGAGGCAGAGAGACCGGGGTGGAGACTTCGGATGCCGCGGCTGCAGGTGGGTGATCTCTGGGGTCGGACCGAGTGGGGTGATGGCGTCTGATTCCAGGAGACCCCCGAGGCAGGAGAGAGAATCCCCCTGGCCTCGGCTGCCTCTGCCGCTACTTCGCGTTCGGGACCGGGAGAGGTCCCGCGTCTGGGAAGGGACTGCCTGGTGCCGGTTGGACTTGCCTTCCTCCCCCTGCCCCCACCCCCTTGGTTGGACCCCTCCGCTCACCTAGGACATTTCTGCCCCCAGGAGCCCAGTGGGGCCGAGGCTGCCCCCGAGCCCGAGCGCTGGGCTCCTGTTGACCCTTTGTTCTCACCATCAAGTGACTCAGGCTGCTCTGCGATTGCCAAGCCTGGACCAGACCCCGGGGGAGAAAACTGAGGATTCTCTCGCTGAGGCACCGGTGGGTCCACGTATCACAGGTCCTTGCTCTAAAAGCCGCAGAGCCGAGTTAAATAACTGCAGCAGCCCTTCCGAGCTACTGTCTCTGCTCAGTTATTTTTACTGATGTCTCTGCGCCCACAGTTGTTCCAGGTAGACTGTCGGTGACTCCTAGGACAGCCCTAGTGATCAAAGCCCTTCCCGGGGACGGGTCCAGGGGAAAGCTGATCTCTGCAGATGAATGCCAATGCCTGACTCTGTGGTTGGTTCAGTGCTACACACACGGTGGGATTCAGATGCGCTTCTTCCTTCGGTTGCCAAGCAATGCCAGTAAAAGGCCAGCAATAGGAATGAACACAATCGTACTCTTCAACGAGGGTTGTGTTCTGTTTGCATCTATGCCTGTTTCCATTAGCTTTTCGTGGTATCATGAGCCCCCTTCAATACTTTGCAGATAAATGGGCTTTTGAACACACACATACACAAGTCTGCAAAGAGCTGTAAAATGAATTCCTCGCTTGATATATGAGTTTACGATAAAAGTCCGTGGCAATGTGTGACATTTAAGGTCTGCTTACCACCTTGCAGAGTTGACAGTCTGGCAAAGCAGATAGATAAGGCACGTACAAAAATGCTACAATAAGAAAAAATATAAAGATATGTAAAGTATAAGGCATTCTACTTACTAATACTTGTTTTAGTGGGGTGAAAGAGAGGACCTTGATTATAGTGGTTTCTGCTAACTGGAGGTGAAGAACTATAGACTTTTTTGTTTTTATTGATTTCAGAGAGGAAGGGTGAGGGAGGGAGAGAGGTAGAAACATCAGTGATGAGAGAGAATCATTGATAGGCTGCATCCTGCACATCCCCTACTGGGGTCCCCTTGACCGGAATTGAACCCACGACCCTTCAATCCATAGGCCGATGCTCTATCCATTGAGCCAAACCAGCCAGGGCACTATAGACTGTTCATTAAAGAAGTTTTTCTCAATTAGGGCGTAGCAAATGGGATGATAGCCAAATGGGAATAAAAGGTCAAAGGATATAGTTTTGTTTGATGTTTATTTAAAGATGGGAGGTACTAAAATTTGTACACTGATGGAAAATGTCCAGTAGAGTGGGAGAAATTGTTGATGTAGCGGAAAGAGAGGTGTGTGTGTGTGTGTGTGTGTACCACTCTAAAGTTTCTTCCAGAGTGCAGGACTTTGTATTGTTTTTGCTGTATTTGCAGTACCTTGGATAGAGCTTGCCACCATATTAGCTACTCCGTAAACTTTTTAAATTTGTTGAATAAATGAGTAACTTGGACTCGATTTCTCTTACCTTCTTAAAATTCATTCTTCAAACATCAGCCAGAACGATACTTAAAAATATAAATCAGATCCTGTCACTGTTCAGTTCAAAATCTTCTGTGATTCCAGTTGCACTTAGAATAAAATTTCAGGTTCTTGTGGCTTATGGGATCCTGCATGAGGGAGCACTGGCCTTCTGGAGTCCTATCTCACCTACCTCCTAGCTCTCGTTAACTATATTCCAGCGATGAAAGTGATAGCGGTGACTTATAATCTAATAGATAGGGCACCTGCATTAATCTGAGAAATAATCATTTTATTTTATTTTTTTAAAATATATTTTATTGATTTTTACAGAGAGGAAGGGAGAGGGATAGAGAGTTAGAAACATCGATGAGAGAGAAACATCGATCAGCTGCCTCCTGCACACTCCCCACTGGGGATGTGCCCGCAACCAAGGTACATGCCCTTGACTGGAATCGAACCTGGGACCCTTCAGTCTGCAGGCCGATGCTCTATCCACTGAGCTAAACCGGTTAGGGCAGAAATAATCATTTTAAATCTTAAGACATATACTTATGTGAACAGGGGGTTAAGTTTTTTATATGTGAACTAGAGGTCCAGTGCACAACATTTGTGCACTGGGAGGGTGGGGAGAGGCGGGAGAGATCCCTCAGCCATGCCTGCGCCCTTTCTGCAGTCCAGGAGCCCTCGGGGGATGTCAGCCCAGCTTCTGGTTGAGTGGCGCTCCCCCTGTGGGAGCACATTGACCACCAGGGAGCAGCTCCTGCATTGAGCGTCTACCCCCTGGTGGTCAGTGTGCATCATGGCAACCGGTCATTGCATCGGTCAGTCTATTTGCATATTACCCTTTTATTACATAGGATAAGAGGGTAAGTTTTTCTTACAGTTTCCTTCTCAAGGGCTGTGTGAAGAGATTAGGGAGGTTACTCAGCTGTGAATCCACAAGCAGAACCGATAAGCAGGGTCAGATGGACCCACCAGGAGTCAAAACATCATCTCATCAAATCATCTCATCCCCTTGATGACTAGTTACAAAAACTGACGTCTGCAAACCCCCAGCCTCACCTTAGCCCCTTCTCCTTTATAATCCTGTCCCCAACACCTTGCTGTAAGACAGGATTTGATGCTCGTATGCGCCCTGTCTTCTTGGGACCCTTTCCCACTTGAGGGCTTTATACACATTTTGTTCAGCAGCCCCTTACCTTCTCATCATTCAGGTTTCAACTTAAATGACACTTTTCTCGAAAGACTCTCTCTCCCTAATGTTGTAGTGGATGAAAACAAGGACCTGGGATCAGACTGTGAGTTTACATGCCAGCTCCTTATTTGTTTGCTACATCATCTTGGGCAATTTAGTTAAATTCTCAAAGCTTCCTTTTCCCTGTATATAAAATGGGGACAATAGTGGTTTAGAAGATTAAAGAGTATATAAAGTATGGAGTACAGAGCCTGACACATAGTAACACTAAGTGTTCACTGTTACCATTTTTATCTGAAATTGAATACTTCCCCTCACAGTGTTCATTTTAATTTCCTTTTCTCAGGTGTTTCTTCACAGTATTTATAATAATTTATAATTTGTCATTCTTTTTCACTAGATACTAAATACCAAGAAATCAGGGATCAAATCTGACTTTATTCTCCACTAGTAGCCCGTTGCATGAAATTCATGCACATTAAAAGGAAATTAATTAGAGGAAATATTTTAATATTGCTATTTGCCCTTTCTTTATAATAGAAGTGCCAGATATGAAAGAAAATTAGTAAAATGTATATGAAAATCTTCCTCCTGTCAGAGTCTGGGGCCCGCCTCGGGACCCAGAGTCAAGGCCCCGCCCACTTGCGCATTCCTCGAAATCGCATGAGACCCAGACCAGGCCAGTCCCACCCCCATTAGGCGAGATCCAGACCCAGCCGGCTCCACCCCCATCAAGCCCCACCAGGCCCACAGCCTCAGGTCCCCCGGTGCATGCCAGGTGAGGGTGCAGCCTCAGGTCCCCCGTCAAGCCCTGCTGGATGGGGGGCGCAGCCTCAGGTCCCCCGGTGCGCCCTCAGGTCCCCTGGCGCAGGCCAGGGCGGGGGAACATGCTTTGAGGTTCCCTGTCAAGCCCTGCCAGGCAGGGGGGGCCCTGAGGTCCCGCCATCAAGCTTTGCCAGGGGGGGGGGGTGCAGCCCTGAGGCCCCCCATCAAGCCCCCGCTGGGCTGGGGGCCAAAGTCTGAGGTCCCCTTGGCCTGGAGCTGGGGGGGGGGGGCATGCCCTGGAGTTTTCCAATCAAGTCCTGCCAGGGGGGGGGGGGGGAGGCCTGAAGTCCCCCAGTTCTGGCCCCGGGGGGGGGGGAGGCCTGAAGGCCCCCTGGCCCGTCCCCCGGGGCGGGAGGTGCAGCCTGGAGGCCCCCGTCAAGCCCCACTGGGAAGGGGGTGCAGCCTTGAGGTTCCCTTGATCTGGAAT